TCTCTCTCTCCCCATGTTCCCCTCCATCTCTCTCTCTCCCCATGTTCCTCTCTCTCCATGTTCCTTTCTCTCTCTCCATATGTTCCTTTCTCTCTCTCCATGTTCCTTTCTCTCTCTCCATGTTCCTCTCTCTCTCTCTCTCTCTCTCCATGTTCCCTCTCTCTCTCTCATGTTCCCCTCTCTCTCTCTCTCTCTCTCTCTATGTTCCCCCTCTCTCTCTCTCTCCTGTTTCCCCTCTCTCTTTCTCTCTCTATGTTCCCCCTCTCTCTCTCCATGTTCCCCCCTCTCTCTCTCTCTCTCTCCGTGTCCCTCTCTCTCTCTCTCTCCCCATGTTCCCCTCCCCCCCTCTCTCTCTCTCTCCCCCCATGTTTCCTCTCTCTCTCTCCATGTTCCTCTCTCTCTCTCTCTCTCTCTCTCCCCATGTTCCCCTCTCTCTCTCTCTCCATGTTCCCTCTCTCTCTCCCCCCATGTTCCCCCTCTTTCTTCCATGTTCCCCTCTCTCTCTCCATGTTAATGTAATTGACTGATTAGTGATATTATTATCGCTCTGGATCCAGGAATATCCCAATAAACACAATGAACCCCGGACTCACCCTCCGCTCCCAGCAGCCAGCTCTGCACTCCGCGCACTGATGACGTCAGTGAGACCCAGTCTGTGAGGTGGCGGAGCATAACGCACTAAGAAGCCGATGGATAGAAATAGTAAAGCGGAAGTGACGTCAGGCATGGCTGCGCCATGATGGATGAGGGCAAGCAGGATCCTGTTTAATCCCGTGGAGTATTATGGGTAACGGACACTGACATTAAGGATTGGAATTCTCATACAGCACAATGTGCCCGAACTGACTGAAATCAATCCGCTAATGGCTGCCTGTTGCCCATACTGCCCTCATCCATCATGGCGCCGGGTGGATCGTTCTCCGTGACGTCACTTCCTTTCCCCATCTCCTGGGATTCCTTAGCAGTTTGGAGTGACAGTGACATGATGAGAGAGCAGGAGAACCTTTTCATTGCTCAGCTACATGGTAGCAGTGTAGTTGCTGGGATTTATTCTGCTTTACTTGAACAATATATGAATGTAGTCCCATCAGGAGATGTCTTAAAGAAAGTATGTCAAATTTAAACACATATTCACTGACAAACACACACACACATGCATTTTCCCCCAACATCCACAATTATTATTATTATTATTTATTTTTTTAAATGAAATCCGCCCAGGCTCTACTTTTGGGAGAGCTGATTGCATTATTTACCTGGTGCGGTCTGGCAGACGGGCGGGCGGCCAAAGTAGGCGGCGAGGGAGTTGTGATCTCTCTGCTCAGCAAACTTGCGCACCGCAGGGTGATGCCGGGAGCCGGAGTGATGTCATATTCTGGCTCTCCCTATCACTGTGGGTCGGGCAAGGGAGCTCTGCAGGAACAGTTCAGGGAAAAGTGCTCCCTCGCCGACCTGGAAAACAAATGGCGGCCTGCCCGGGGGGAACCAGCCGGCCAGCTTTTGGGCCCCTATAAAACAAGGCTAGCAAGAAATGCCTTGTGTTATATACAGCCCTGATTACAAATCTTACAAATTTTCAGTGCTGAGTATCTGTACTGGACCCATTAAATGTCCAGACATCACCATAAATCCCATCCCCTTCTCCCTACATCAAAAGGTCCTCTTATAGTCAAACATGCGTGGCACACTTAGGTCTTAGTCAACTGAGTTCTTGGCTCAAGTTTGTTCTATTGGAGTAGCTATGTTAGTCTTGGGGTTTATCACCAAATACACTGACACTCGTCTGGTGTTTCTCTGCTTGCATTCTAAACCATATGACTGAAATGGTGCTGCCCTAGGCATGACACATCTCGTGTTGCCCCTAATTTAAATGTACACACACCTTCCTGCTAAGGCCACA